GCACGGGGGGGGCGGGGGCCCCCCTGCCGGTACCGGCGGGATTCAAGGTCTCTGGCAGGGGAGGGGATCCTTTGCCGCAGACGGGTGCCGTGGGTGCTGGCCGTTTCCCGTGTGCCGTCATGCAGACTGGCGCAAGGAGGATGGCAGCACCACGCACACCGCGGGATCGCCGAGCTGGAGGAGGCGCAGACCTCCCTTCTGTTGGCAAAAAACACAGGAGGTCCAAAAGCTGTGAAGTGTTCGGCAGCCTGGCGTGGGCAGCGGAGGTTCATGCCGTGGGTGCCCATGAAGGTGTAGTCGTGCCTTTTATCTTCATCCCCGAGAAGGAGGCAGACCTCGGTGGACATTTGTGCCGTGGGTTTGTGGTGCAGCCCCCCGGGGGTCACGTCCTACTTGGCCTGGTGGGAGCATTAGTAACCTTCCTGCCATGCTTTGTGCTGCCAGGGTGAGCTCGCTCCCCCTGCTTTACGCGTGGACAGTTCAATATCCCCTCAAAGGTCAGCTCTGGGGCCAGTGTATTAACTGAGAGAATTATTTTTAAAAATGTCAAATGCCAGATTGCAGCAGAGGGAACTGTGTGCAGGGGCTGTGAGCTCGCAGGAGCGCGGGGGCTCCCAGCTGCCCTTCAGGTCCTCTCGCTCTTTCAACAGAAGCTGAAGGGACTTGGAATCAAGGAGCAAATCATGATGAATAAAACATCAGGAGGACTTTTTCCTTCAGCAAAGATTAATGAGCTAAGTAATACATACAAAATTTCACAGATACTTAAGTTTACTTTCCAGGGACTTGTTCCTCTCCACAGGAGTCTCTGTGGGATAGTCAGGGTCTAGCAGATGTCCTGATTTGATGGAGAAACAGGACAAGCTAGAGACAGCCAATTTCCCTGTGCAGCTTTCGCGGTGCCCGCTGCAGGGCTGCTGGTGTAGACGGGTGAATCGGTCACGGCAGCCCCTTCACCATGGTGTGTTCTGGCCCCTGGTGCTTACTGTGTGGTCCAGGGACCACACTTCCTTGTGCCGGGACCGTGCCTTCCAGCCACGGCCAGGGTGATGGCTGCAGAGGACAGGCTGGGCAGCCCAGAGCCACAGTTACGGGAGGGTTTTCTGCCATTCCCCCTTCTCGGCCAGAGAGGAGACTTTCTGCCCCCTGACAAGGACAGTTTGTGCCACTGCCTTAGGAGAGCTGTGAGGACGTTACTTGGCATGTTCAGCCACTGGGGAAGGTCGGTTTTTCTCATCAATCCTAATTGTCTCTTTAATCAATCCAAAGCAGAATGAGGGGCTCCAATAGAAGCTTTTATCAAGGCACCAGGTACAAAGCTTATTTCCCTACTGAAATATTTAGTTTCTTTCTTGAATAGCACCTTTGCAGCAAAGACACCAAGGTCCTAGCATGACCCAAGCAGCCCCTTCCTCCCTGTTCTTGCTGGTGAATGCCCTGGCGATGGGCAGATCACCACGTCTGAGCCGCTGCTGCCTTGCTCTGGGCAGGCAGGCGATGCCATGTCCTTGGCTGGCTCCTGAGATGCTGCAGACAGTCTGACAGGTCCAGCTGGCTTTCCACTGGTGCCGGAGGCGGAGGCTTTCAGAAGAGCTGCTGGGATGCTGCCTGCAGGCAGGGAGCCCGGTGCAGGCAGTGCCACTGCCT